AAAATAAGTTATTTGAAGCAATTATTTTCCGAGAAAAGATTCAGTACATTTACTATAAACTTTGTACAATGAAGATTAGCGATAGACCTTGCAAAACGTACGAATGGTTTCCTTTCATTTAGAGATTAAATATTTGACCCCAGTGAGAAAAACCCAGCCATAGGAAGACAAATTTTGAAATACAATTGTCTCGTACTATATACAATTGCAGCGAGAAAAAAAAAAGTTTTTCAAAATTTATTTATGCTTTCACTGAATAAAATCTTAAGTGAATATGACAATCGAGAAACCCCGTTCCAATGTTTCGCCTGAGACATACGGCGTTAATTTGACAATTAATTCTTCTGTTACTTCATTCGATCGCGTCTGAATTGCAGAATATATAGCGCATAATTGAGACATTTTAACCTTTTTAGATTTCACGACGAAATGCTGCAAATATAGAAGATTTTTCGCCCCTTCCAAGGTAAAATAAGCTATTTGAAGCAATTATTTTCCGAGAAAAGATTCAGTATATTTACTATAAACTTTATACAACGAAGATTAGCGATAGACCATGCAAAACGTACGAATGGTTCTTTCATTTAGAGATGAAATATTTGGCCCCCTAGTGGGAGAAATCCCGCCATAGGAAGACAAATTTTGAAACACAATTGTCTTGTACTATATATACAATTCCATGCAGCGAGTTCTCCAATAAAAAAAGTTTTTCAAAATTTATTTATGCTTTCACTGAATAAGATCTTAAGTGATTATGACAATCGAGAAACCCCCGTTCCAATGTTTCGCCTGATGACATAGCTACGGCGTTAATTTGACAATTAACAAATTTTTTCCTGTTACTTCATTCGATCGCGTCTGAATTGCAGAATATATAGCGCATAATTGAGACATTTTATAACCTTTTTAGATTTCACGACGAAATGCTGCAAATATGAAGATTTTTCGCCCCTTCCAAGGTAAAATAAGCTATTTGAAGCAATTATTTTCCGAGAAAAGATTCAGTATATTTACTATAAACTTTGTACAATGAAGATTAGCGATAGACCTGCAAAACGTACGAATGGTCTTTCATTTAGAGATGAAATATTTGGCCCCAGTGGGAGAAATCCAGCCATAGGAAGACAAATTTTGAAACAATTGTCTCGTACTATATACAATTGCAGCGAGTTCTCCAACAAAAAAAGTTTTTCAAATTATTTATGCTTTCACTGAATAAAATCTTAAGTGAATATGACAATCGAGAAACCCCCGTTCCAATGTTTCGCCTGAGGACATACGGCGTTAATTTGACAATTAACAAATTCTTCTGTTACTTCATTCGATCGCGTCTGAATTGCAGAATATATAGCGCATAATTGAGACATTTATAACCTTTTTAGATTTCACGACGAAATGCTGCAAATATAGAAGATTTTTCGCCCCTTCCAAGGTAAAATAAGCTATTTGAAGCAATTATTTTCCGAGAAAAGATTCAGTATATGCATTTCTATAAACTTTATACAACGAAGATTAGCGATAGACCATGCAAAACGTACGAATGGTTCTTTCATTTAGAGATGAAATATTTGGCCCCAGTTTGGGAGAAATCCAGCCATATAGGAAGACAAATTTTGAAACACAATTGTCTCGTACTATATACAATTCCATGCAGCGAGTTCTCCAATAAAAAAAGTTTTTCAAAATTTATTTATGCTTTCACTGAATAAAATGTTACGTGATTATGAGAATCGAGAAACCCCCGTTCCAATATATTGCCTTATGACATAGCTACGGCGTTAATTTGACAATTAACAAATTCTTCTGTTACTTCATTCGATCGCGTCTGAATTGCAGAATATATAGCGCATAATTGAGACATTTTATAACCTTTTTAGATTTCACGACGAAATGCTGCAAATATAGAAGATTTTTTGCCCCTTCCAAGGTAAAATAAGCTATTTGAAGCAATTATTTTCCGAGAAAAGATTCAGTATATTTACTATAAACTTTATACAACGAAGATTAGCGATAGACCATGCAAAACGTACGAATGGTTCTTTCATTTAGAGATGAAATATTTGGCCCCAGTGGGAGAATTCCAGCCATATAGGAAGACAAATTTTGAAACACAATTGTCTCGTACTATATACAATTGCAGCGAGTTCTCCAACAAAAAAAGTTTTTCAAAATTTATTTATGCTTTCACTGAATAAAATGTTACGTGATTATGACAATCGAGAAACCCCCGTTCCAATATATTGCCTGATAACATAGCTACGGCGTTAATTTGACAATTAACAAATTCTTCTGTTACTTCATTCGATCGCGTTTGAATTGCAGAATATATAGCGCATAATTGAGACATTTTATAACCTTTTTAGATTTCCCGACGAAATGCTGAAAATATAGAAGATTTTTCGCTCCTTCCAAGGTAAAATAAGCTATTTGAAGCAATTATTTTCCGACGAAAGATTCAGTATATTTACTATAAACTTTATACAATGCAGTTTAGCGATAGACCATGCAAAACGTACGAATGGTCCTTTCATTTAGAGATTAAATATTTTTGGTCGCAGTGAGAAAAATCTAGCCATAGGAAGACAAATTTTGAAACACAATTGTCTCGTACTATATACAATTGCAGCGAGATCTCCAACAAAAAAAGTTTTTCAAAATTTATTTATGCTTTCACTGAATAAAATCTTAAGTGATTATGACAATCGAGAAACCCCCGTTCCAATGTTTCGCCTAAGGACATACGGCGTTAATTTTCTTTCATTTAGAGATGAAATATTTGGCCCCAGTGGGAGAAATCCAGCCATATAGGAAGACAAATTTTGAAACACAATTGTCTCGTACTATATACAATTGCAGCGAGATCTCCAATAAAAAAAGTTTTTCAAAATTTATTTATGCTTTCACTGAATATGTCTTAAGTGATTATGACAATCGAGAAACCCCCGTTCCAATGTTTCGCCTGAGGACATACGGCGTTAATTTGACACTTAACAAATTCTTCTGTTACTTCATTCGATCGCGTCTGAATTGCAGAATATATAGCGCATAATTGAGACATTTTATAACCTTTTTAGATTTCACGACGAAATGCTGCAAATATAGAAGATTTTTCGCCCCTTCCAAGGTAAAATAAGCTATTTGAAGCAATTATTTTCCGAGAAAAGATTCAGTACATTTACTATAAACTTTATACAACGAAGATTAGCGATAGAACATGCAAAACGACGAATGGTTCTTTCATTTAGAGATGAAATATTTGGCCCCAGTGGGATAAATCCAGCCATAGGAAGACAATTTTGAAACACAATTCCTCGTACTATATACAATTCCATGCAGCGAGTTCTCCAATAAAAACAGTTTTTCAAAATTTATTTATGCTTCACTGAATAAAATCTTAAGTGATTATGACAATCGAGAAACCCCCGTTCAATGTTTCGCTGAGGACACACGGCATTAATTTGACAATTAACAAATTCTTCTGTTACTCATTCGATCGCGTCTGAATTGCAGAATATATAGCGCATAATTGAGACATTTTATAACCTTTTAGATTTCATGACCAAATGCTGCAAATATGAAGATTTTGGCCCCTTCCAAGGTAAAATAAGCTATTTGAGGCAATTGTTCTCAGACAAAGATTCAGTATATTACTATAACTTTATACAACGAAGATTAGCGATAGACCATGCAAAACGTACGAATGGTCCTTTCATTTAGAGATTAAAATATTTGTTCCCAGTGAGAAAAATCCAGCCATAGGAAGACAAATTTTGAACACAATTGTCTCGTACTCTATACAATTGCAGCGAGATCTCAAAAAAAAGTTTTTCAAAATTTATTTAGCTTTCACTGAATAAAATCTTAAGTGATTATGACAATCGGGAGACCCCCGTTCCAATGTTTCGTTTGAGGACATACGTCGTTAATTTGACAATTAACAAATTCTTCTGTTACTTCGTTCGATGAAGTCTAAATTGCAGAATATATGGCGCATAATTAAGACATTTTGTAACCTTTTTAGATTTCATGACGAAATGCTGCAAATATAGAAGATTTTTGGCCTCTTCAAGGTAAAATAAGCTTTTTGAAGCAATTGTTTCAAACAAAAGATTCAGTATATTTACTATAAACTTTATACAACGAAGATTAGCGATAGACCATGAAAACGTACGAATGGTCCTTTCATTTAGAGATTAAATATTTGACCCCAGTGAGAAAAATCCAGCATAGGAAGACAATTTTGAAATACAATTGTCTCGTACTATATACAATTGCAGCGAGATCTGCAACAAAAAAAGTTTTTCAAAATTTATTTATGCTTTCACTGAATAAAATCTTAAGTGATTATGACAATCGAGAAACCCCCGTTCCAATGTTTCGCCTGAGGACATACGTCGTTAATTTGACAATTAACAAATTCTTCTGTTACTTCATTCGATAGCGTCTGAATTGTAGAATATATAGCGTATAATTGAGACATTTTATAACCTTTTTAGATTTCACGACGAAATGCTGCAAATATAGAAGATTTTTGGCCCTTCCAAGGTAAAATAAAGCTATTTGAAGCAATTGTTTTCGAGAAAAGATTCAGTACATTTACTATAAACTTTGTACAATGAAGATTAGCGATAGACCTTGCAAAACGTACGAATGGTCCTTTCATTTAGAGATTAAATATTTGACCCCAGTGAGAAAAATCCAGCCATAGGAAGACAAATTTTGAAATACAATTGTCTCGTACTATATACAATTGCAGCGAGATCTCCAACAAAAAAAGTTTTTCAAAATTTATTTATGCTTTCACTTAATAAAATCTTAAGTGAATATGACAATCGAGAAACCCCCGTTCCAATGTTTCGCCTGAGGACAAACGGCGTTAATTTGACAATTAACAAATTCTTCTGTTACTTCATTCGATCGCGTCTGAATTGCAGAATATATAGCGCATAATTGAGACATTTTATAACCTTTTTAGATTTCACGACGAAATGCTGCAAATATAGAAGATTTTTCGCCCCTTCCAAGGTAAAATAAGCTATTTGAAGCAATTATTTTCCGAGAAAAGATTCAGTACATTTACTATAAACTTTACAACGAAGATTAGCGATAGACCATGCAAAACGACGAATGGTTCTTTCATTTAGAGATGAAATATTTGGCCCCAGTGGAAAAATCCAGCCATAGGAAGACAAATTTGAAACACAATTCTCTCGTACTATATACAATTCCATGCAGCGAGTCTCCAATAAAAAAGTTTTTCAAAATTTATTTATGCTTTCACTGAATAAAATCTTAAGTGATTATGACAATCGAGAAACCCCCGTTCCAATGTTTCGCCTTGAGGACACACGGCATTAATTTGACAATTAACAAATTCTTCTGTTACTTCATTCGATCGCGTCTGAATTGCAGAATATATAGCGCATAATTGAGACATTTTATAACCTTTTTAGATTTCACGACGAAATGCTGCAAATATGAAGATTTTTCGCCCCTTCCAAGGTAAAATAAGCTATTTGAAGCAATTGTTTCAGACAAAAGATTCAGTATATTTACTATAAACTTTATACAACGAAGATTAGCGATAGACATGCAAAACGTACGAATGGTCCTTTCATTTAGAGATTAAATATTTGTTCCAGTGAGAAAGATCCAGCCATAGGAAGACAAATTTTGAAACACAATTGTCTCGTACTCTATACAATTGCAGCGAGATCTCAAAAAAAAAGTTTTTCAAAATTTATTTATGCTTTCACTGAATAAAATCTTAAGTGATTATGAAAATCGGGAGACCCCCGCCTTAATGTTTCGCCTGAGGAGATGCATCCGGCGTTAACTTGACCATTAACAAATTCTTCTTTTACTTCATTCGATCAAGTCTAAATTGCAGAATATATGGCGCATAATTAAGACATTTTGTAACCTTTTTAGATTTCATGATGAAATGCTGCAAATATAGAAGATTTTTGGCCTCTTCCAAGGTAAAATAAGCTTTTTGAAGCAATTGTTTTCAAACAAAAGATTCAGTATATTTACTATAAACTTTATACAATGAAGATTAGCGATAGACCATGAAAAACGTACGAATGGTCCTTTCATTTAGAGATTAAATATTTGACCCCAGTGAGAAAAATCCAGCAATAGGAAGACAATTTTTGAAATACAATTGTCTCGTACTATATACAATTGCAGCTAGATCTCCAACAAAAAAAGTTTTTCAAAATTTATTTATGCTTTCACTGAATAAAATCTTAAGTGATTATGACAATCGAGAAACCCCCGTTCCAATGTTTCGCCTGAGGACATACGTCGTTAATTTGACAATTAACAAATTCTTCTGTTACTTCATTCGATCGCGTCTGAATTGTAGAATATATAGCGTATAATTGAGACATTTTATAACCTTTTTAGATTTCACGACGAAATGCTGCAAATATAGAAGATTTTTCGCCCCTTCCAAGGTAAAAAAAGCTATTTGAAGCAATTATTTTCCGAGAAAAGATTCAGTATATTTACTATAAACTTTACACAACGAAGATTAGCGATAGACCATGCAAAACGTACGAATAGTTCTTTCATTTAGAGATGAAATATTTGTCGCAGTGAGAAAAATCCAGCCATAGGAAGACAAATTTTGAAACACAATTGTCTCGTACTATATACAATTGCAGCGAGATCTCCAACAAAAAAAGTTTTTCAAAAATTATTTATTTTTCACTGAATAAAATCTTAAGCGATTATGACAATCGAGAAACCCCCGTTCCAATGTTTCGCCTGAGGACATACGGCGTTAATTTGACAATCAACAAATTCTTCTGTTACTTCATTCGATCGCGTCTGATTTGCAGAATATTTAGCGCATAATTGAGACATTTTATAACCTTTTTAGATTTCACGACGAAATTCTGCAAATATAGATGATTTTTCGCCCCTTCCAAGGTAAAATAAGCTATTTGAAGCAATTATTTTCCGACAAAAGATTCAGTATATTTACTATAAACTTTATACAATGAAGATTAGCGATAGACCATGCAAAACGTACGAATGGTCCTTTCATTTAGAGATTAAATATTTGGTCGCAGTGAGAAAAATCCAGCCATAGGAAGACAAATTTTGAAACACAATTGTCTCGTACTATATGCAATTGTAGCGAGATCTCCAACAAAAAAAGTTTTTCAAAAATTATTTATTTTTTACTGAATAAAATCTTAAGCGATTATGACAATCGAGAAACCCCCGTTCCAATGTTTCGCCTGAGGACATACGGCGTTAATTTGACAATCAACAAATTCTTCTGTTACTTCATTCGATCGCGTCTGAATTGCAGAATATATAGCGCATAATTGAGACATTTTATAACCTTTTTAGATTTCACGACGAAATGCTGCAAATATAGAAGATTTTTCGCCCCTTCCAAGGTAAAATAAGCTATTTGAAGCAATTATTTTCCGACAAAAGATTCAGTATATTTACTATAAACTTTATACAATGAAGATTAGCGATAGACCATGCAAAACGTACGAATGTTCCTTTCATTTAGAGATTAAATATTTGGTCGCAGTGAGAAAAATCCAGCCATAGGAAGACAAATTTTGAAACACAATTGTCTCGTACTATATACAATTGCAGCGAGATCTCCAAGAAAAAAAGTTTTTCAAAAATTATTTATTTTTCACTGAATAAAATCTTAAGTGATTATGACAATCGAGAAACCCCCGTTCCAATGTTTCGCTTGAGGACATACGGCGTTAATTTGACAATCGACAAATTCTTCTGTTACTTCATTCGATCGCGTCTGAATTGCAGAATATATAGCGCATAATTGAGACATTTTATAACCTTTTTAGATTTCACGACGAAATGCTGCAAATATAGAAGATTTTTCGCCCCTTCCAAGGTAAAATAAGTTATTTGAAGCAATTATTTTCCGACAAAAGATTCAGTACATTTACTATAAACTTTGTACAATGAAGATTAGCGATAGACCTTGCAAAACGTACGAATGGTCCTTTCATTTAGAGATTAAATATTTGACCCCAGTGAGAAAAATCCAGCCATAGGAAGACAAATTTTGAAATACAATTGTCTCGTACTATATACAATTGCAGCGAGATCTCCAACAAAAAAAGTTTTTCAAAATTTATTTATGCTTTCACTGAATAAAATCTTAAGTGAATATGACAATCGAGAAACCCCCGTTCCAATGTTTCGCCTGAGGACATACGGCGTTAATTTGACAATTAACAAATTCTTCTGTTACTTCATTCGATCGCGTTTGAATTGCAGAATATATAGCGCATAATTGAGACATTTTATAACCTTTTTAGATTTCACGACGAAATGCTGCAAATATAGAAGATTTTTCGCCCCTTCCAAGGTAAAATAAGCTATTTGAAGCAATTATTTTCCGAGAAAAGATTCAGTACATTTACTATAAACTTTATACAACGAAGATTAGCGATAGACCATGCAAAACGACGAATGGTTCTTTCATTTAGAGATGAAATATTTGGCCCCAGTGGGATAAATCCAGCCATAGGAAGACAAATTTTGAAACACAATTCTCTCGTACTATATACAATTCCATGCAGCGAGTTCTCCAATAAAAACAGTTTTTCAAAATTTATTTATGCTTTCACTGAATAAAATCTTAAGTGATTATGACAATCGAGAAACCCCCGTTCCAATGTTTCGCTTGAGGACACACGGCATTAATTTGACAATTAACAAATTCTTCTGTTACTTCATTCGATCGCGTCTGAATTGCAGAATATATAGCGCATAATTGAGACATTTTATAACCTTTTTAGATTTCATGACCAAATGCTGCAAATATGGAAGATTTTTGGCCCCTTCCAAGGTAAAATAAGCTATTTGAAGCAATTGTTCTCAGACAAAAGATTCAGTATATTTACTATAAACTTTATACAACGAAGATTAGCGATAGACCATGCAAAACGTACGAATGGTCCTTTCATTTAGAGATTAAATATTTGTTCCCCAGTGAGAAAATCCAGCCATAGGAAGACAAATTTTTGAAACACAATTGTCTCGTACTCTATACAATTGCAGCGAGATCTCAAAAAAAAAGTTTTTCAAAATTTATTTATGCTTTCACTGAATAAAATCTTAAGTGATTATGACAATCGGGAGACCCCCGCCTTAATGTTTCGCCTGAGGAGATGCACGGCGTTAACTTGACCATTAACAAATTCTTCTTTTACTTCATTCGATCAAGTCTAATTGCAGAATATATGGCGCATAATTAAGACATTTTGTAACCTTTTTAGATTTCATGACGAAATGCTGCAAATATAGAAGATTTTTGGCCTCTTCCAAGGTAAAATAAGCTTTTGAAGCAATTGTTTCAACAAAAGATTCAGTATATTTACTATAAACTTTATACAATGAAGATTAGCGATAGACCATGCAAAACGTACGAATGGTCCTTTCATTTAGAGATTAAATATTTGACCCCAGTGAGAAAATCCAGCCATAGGAAGACAATTTTGAAAACAATTGTCTCGTACTATATACAATTGCAGCTAGATCTCCAACAAAAAAAGTTTTTCAAATTTATTTATGCTTTCACTGAATAAAATCTTAAGTGATTATGACAATCGAGAAACCCCCGTTCCAATGTTTCGCCTGAGGACATACGGCGTTAATTTGACAATCAACAAATTCTTCTGTTACTTCATTCGATCGCGTCTGATTTGCAGAATATTTAGCGCATAATTGAGACATTTTATAACCTTTTTAGATTTCACGACGAAATTCTGCAAATATAGATGATTTTTCGCCCCTTCCAAGGTAAAATAAGCTATTTGAAGCAATTATTTTCCGACAAAAGATTCAGTATATTTACTATAAACTTTATACAATGAAGATTAGCGATAGACCATGCAAAACGTACGAATGTTCCTTTCATTTAGAGATTAAATATTTGGTCGCAGTGAGAAAAATCCAGCCATAGGAAGACAAATTTTGAAACACAATTGTCTCGTACTATATACAATTGCAGCGAGATCTCCAAGAAAAAAAGTTTTTCAAAAATTATTTATTTTTCACTGAATAAAATCTTAAGTGATTATGACAATCGAGAAACCCCCGTTCCAATGTTTCGCTTGAGGACATACGGCGTTAATTTGACAATCAACAAATTCTTCTGTTACTTCATTCGATCGCGTCTGAATTGCAGAATATATAGCGCATAATTGAGACATTTTATAACCTTTTTAGATTTCATGACGAAATGCTGCAAATATGGAAGATTTTTGGCCTCTTCCAAGGTTAAATAAGCTATTTGAAGCAATTGTTCTCAGACAAAAGATTCAGTATATTTACTATAAACTTTATACAACGAAGATTAGCGATAGACCATGCAAAACGTACGAATGGTCCTTTCATTTAGAGATTAAATATTTTTCCCTGTGAGAAAAATCCAGCCATAGGAAGACAAATTTTGAAACACAATTGTATCGTACTCTATATAATTGCGGCGAGATCTCAAAAAAAAGTTTTTCAAAATTTATTTATGCTTTCACTGAATAAAATCTTAAGTGATTATGACAATCGGGAGACCCCCGCTTTAATGTTTCGCCTGAGGAGATGCATCCGGCGTTAACTTGACCATTAACAAATTCTTCTTTTACTTCATTCGATCATGTCTAAATTGCAGAATATATAGCGCATAATTAAGACATTTTGTAACCTTTTTAGATTTCATGACGAAATGCTGCAAATATAGAAGATTTTTGGCCTCTTCCAAGGTAAAATAAGCTTTTTGAAGCAATTGTTTTCAAACAAAAGATTCAGTATATTTACTATAAACTTTATACAATGAAGATTAGCGATAAACCATGCAAAACGTACGAATGGTCCTTTCATTTAGAGATTAAATATTTGACCCCAGTGAGAAAAATCCAGCCATAGGAAGACAATTTTTGAAATACAATTGTGTCGTACTATTTACAATTGCAGCTAGATCTCCAACAAAAAAAGTTTTTCAAAATTTATTTATGCTTTCACTGAATAAAATCTTAAGTGATTATGACAATCGAGAAACCCCCGTTCCAATGTTTCGCCTGAGGACATACGTCGTTAATTTGACAATTAACAAATTCTTCTGTTACTTCATTCGATCGCGTCTGAATTGTAGAATATATAGCGTATAATTGAGACATTTTATAACCTTTTTAGATTTCACGACGAAATGCTGCAAATATAGAAGATTTTTCGCCCCTTCCAAGGTAAAATAAGCTATTTGAAGCAATTATTTTCCGAGAAAAGATTCAGTATATTTACTATAAACTTTTACAACGAAGATTAGCGATAGACCATGCAAAACGTACGAATGGTTCTTTCATTTAGAGATGAAATATTTGGCCCCAGTTGGAGAAATCCAGCCATATAGGAAGACAAATTTTGAAACACAATTGTCTCGTACTATATACAATTGCAGCGAGTTCTCCAACAAAAAAAGTTTTTCAAAATTTATTTATGCTTTCACTGAATAAAATGTTACGTGATTATGACAATCGAGAAACCCCCGTTCCAATATATTGCCTGATGACATAGCTACGGCGTTAATTTGACAATTAACAAATTCTTCTGTTACTTCATTCGATCGCGTTGAATTGCAGAATATATAGCGCATAATTGAGACATTTTATAACCTTTTTAGATTTCACGACGAAATGCTGCAAATATAGAAGATTTTTTGCCCCTTCCAAGGTAAAATAAGCTATTTGAAGCAATTATTTTCCGAGAAAAGATTCAGTATATTTACTATAAACTTTATACAACGAAGATTAGCGATAGACCATGCAAAACGTACGAATGGTCTTTCATTTAGAGATTAAATATTTGGCCAGTGAGAAATCCAGCCATAGGAAGACAAATTTTGAAACACAATTGTCTCGTACTATATACAATTGCAGCGAGTTCCAACAAAAAAAGTTTTTCAAAATTTATTTATTCTTTCACTGAATAAAATCTTAAGTGAATATGACAATCGAGAAACCCCCGTTCCAATGTTTCGCCTGAGGACATACGGCGTTAATTTGACAATTAACAAATTCTTCTGTTACTTCATTCGATCGCGTCTGAATTGCAGAATATATAGCGCATAATTGAGACATTTTATAACCTTTTTAGATTTCACGACGAAATGCTGCAAATATAGAAGATTTTTCGCCCCTTCCAAGGTAAAATAAGCTATTTGAAGCAATTATTTTCCGAGAAAAGATTCAGTAATTTACTATAAACTTTATACAACGAAGATTAGCGATAGACCATGCAAAACGTACGAATGGTTCTTTCATTTAGAGATGAAATATTTGGCCCCAGTGGGAAAATCCAGCCATAGGAAGACAAATTTTGAAACACAATTGTCTCGTACTATATACAATTGCAGCGAGTTCTCCAACAAAAAAAGTTTTTCAAAATTTATTTATGCTTTCACTGAATAAAATGTTACGTGATTATGACAATCGAGAAACCCCCGTTCCAATATATTGCCTGATGACATAGCTACGGCGTTAATTTGACAATTAACAAATTCTTCTGTTACTTCATTCGATCGCGTTTGAATTGCAGAATATATAGCGCATAATTGAGACATTTTATAACCTTTTTAGATTTCACGACGAAATGCTGCAAATATAGAAGATTTTTCGCCCCTTCCAAGGTAAAATAAGCTATTTGAAGCAATTATTTTCCGACAAAAGATTCAGTATATTTACTATAAACTTTATACAATGAAGATTAGCGATAGACCATGCAAAACGTACGAATGGTCCTTTCATTTAGAGATTAAATATTTGGTCGCAGTGAGAAAAATCCAGCCATAGGAAGACAAATTTTGAAACACAATTGTCTCGTACTATATACAATTGCAGCGAGATCTCCAACAAAAAAAGTTTTTCAAAATTTATTTTTTTACTGAATAAAATCTTAAGCGATTATGACAATCGAGAAACCCCCGTTCCAATGTTTCGCCTGAGGACATACGGCGTTAATTTGACAATCAACAAATTCTTCTGTTACTTCATTCGATCGCGTCTGAATTGCAGAATATATAGCGCATAATTGAGACATTTTATAACCTTTTTAGATTTCACGACGAAATGCTGCAAATATAGAAGATTTTTCGCCCCTTCCAAGGTAAAATAAGCTATTTGAAGCAATTATTTTCCGACAAAAGATTCCGTATATTTACTATAAACTTTATACAATGAAGATTAGCGATAGTCCATGCATAACGTACGAATGGTTCCTTTCATTTAGAGATTAAATATTTGGTCGCAGTGAGAAAATCCAGCCATAGGAAGACAAATTTTGAAACACAATTGTCTCGTACTATATACAATTGCAGCGAGATCTCCAACAAAAAAAGTTTTTCAAAATTATTTATTTTCACTGAATAAAATCTTAAGTGATTATGACAATCGAGAAACCCCCGTTCCAATGTTTCGCTTGAGGACATACGGCGTTAATTTGACAATCAACAAATTCTTCTGTTACTTCATTCGATCGCGTCTGAATTGCAGAATATATAGCGCATAATTGAGACATTTTATAACCTTTTTAGATTTCATGACGAAATGCTGCAAATATGGAAGATTTTTGGCCTTCCAAGGTAAATAAGCTATTTGAAGCAATTGTTCTCAGACAAAAGATTCAGTATATTTACTATAAACTTTATACAACGAAGATTAGCGATAGACCATGCAAAACGTACGAATGGTCCTTTCATTTAGAGATTAAATATTTCCCAGTGAGAAAGATCCAGCCATAGGAAGACAAATTTTGAAACACAATTGTCTCGTACTCTATACAATTGCAGTGAGATCTCAAAAAAAAAGTTTTTCAAAATTTATTTATGCTTTCACTGAATAAAATCTTAAGTGATTATGACAATCGGGAGACCCCGCTTTAATGTTTCGCCTGAGGAGATGCATCCGGCGTTAACTTGACCATTAACAAATTCTTCTTTTACTTCATTCGATCATGTCTAAATTGCAGAATATATAGCGCATAATTAAGACATTTTGTAACCTTTTTAGATTTCATGACGAAATGCTGCAAATATAGAAGATTTTTGGCCTCTTCCAAGGTAAAATAAGCTTTTTGAAGCAATTGTTTTCAAACAAAAGATTCAGTATATTTACTATAAACTTTATACAATGAAGATTAGCGATAAACCATGCAAAACGTACGAATGGTCCTTTCATTTAGAGATTAAATATTTGACCCCAGTGAGAAAAATCCAGCCATAGGAAGACAATTTTTGAAATACAATTGTCTCGTACTATTTACAATTGCAGCTAGATCTCCAACAAAAAAAGTTTTTCAAAATTTATTTATGCTTTCACTGAATAAAATCTTAAGTGATTATGACAATCGAGAAACCCCCGTTCCAATGTTTCGCCTAAGGACATACGGCGTTAATTTTCTTTCATTTAGACATGAAATATTTGGCCCCAGTGGGAGAAATCCAGCCATATAGGAAAACAAATTTTGAAACACAATTGTCTCGTACTATATACAATTGCAGCGAGATCTCCAATAAAAAAAGTTTTTAAAATTTATTTATGCTTTCACTGAATATGTCTTAAGTGATTATGACAATCGAGAAACCCCCGTTCCAATGTTTCGCCTGAGGACATACGTCGTTAATTTGACAATTAACAAAATCTTCTGTTACTTCATTCGATCGCGTTTGAATTGCAGAATATATAGCGCATAATTGAGACATTTTATAATCTTTTTAGATTTCACGACGAAATGCTGGAAATATAGAAGATTTTTCGCCCCTTCCAAGGTAAAATAAGCTATTTGAAGCAATTATTTTCCGAGAAAAGATTCAGTACATTTACTATAAACTTTATACAACGAAGATTAGCGATAGACCATGCAAAACGACGAATGGTTCTTTCATTTAGAGATGAAATATTTGGCCCCAGTGGGATAAATCCAGCCATAGGAAGACAAATTTTGAAACACAATTCTCTCGTACTATATACAATTCCATGCAGCGAGTTCTGCAATAAAAACAGTTTTTCAAAATTTATTTATGCTTTCACTGAATAAATTAAAATCTTAAGTGATTATGACAATCGAGAAACCCCCGTTCCAATATATTGCCTGATGACATAGCTACGGCGTTAATTTGACAATTAACAAATTCTTCTGTTACTTCATTCGATCGCGTCTGAATTGCAGAATATATAGCGCATAATTGAGACATTTTATAACCTTTTTAGATTTCACGACGAAATGCTGCAAATATAGAAGATTTTTCGCCCTTCCAAGGTAAAATAAGCTATATTTGAAGCAATTATTTTCCGAGAAAAGATTCAGTACATTTACTATAAACTTTATACAACGAAGATTAGCGATAGACCATGCAAAACGTACGAATGGTTCTTTCATTTAGAGATGAAATATTTGGCCCCAGTGGGATAAATCCAGCCATAGGAAGACAAATTTTGAAACACAATTCTCTCGTACTATATACAATTGCATGCAGCGAGTTCTCCAATAAAAACAGTTTTTCAAAATTTATTTATGCTTTCACTGAATAAAATCTTAAGTGATTATGACAATCGAGAAACCCCCGTTCCAATGTTTCGCTTGAGGACACACGGCATTAATTTGACAATTAACAAATTCTTCTGTTACTTCATTCGATCGCGTCTGAATTGCAGAATATATAGCGCATAATTGAGACATTTTATAACCTTTTTAGATTTCATGACCAAATGCTGCAAATATGGAAGATTTTTGGCCCCTTCCAAGGTAAAATAAGCTATTTGAAGCAATTGTTCTCAGACAAAAGATTCAGTATATTTACTATAAACTTTATACAACGAAGATTAGCGATAGACCATGCAAAACGTACGAATGGTCCTTTCATTTAGAGATTAAATATTTGTTCCCAGTGAGAAAGATCCAGCCATAGGAAGACAAATTTTGAAACACAATTGTCTCGTACTCTATACAATTGCAGCGAGATCTCAAAAAAAAAGTTTTTCAAAATTTATTTATGCTTTCACTGAATAAAATCTTAAGTGATTATGACAATCGGGAGACCCCCGTTCCAATGTTTCGCCTGAGGACATACGTCGTTAATTTGACAATTAACAAATTCTTCTGTTACTTCATTCGATGAAGTCTAAATTGCAGAATATATAGCGCATAATTAAGACATTTTGTAACCTTTTTAGATTTCATGACGAAATGCGGCAAATATAGAAGATTTTTGGCCTCTTCCAAGGTAAAATAAGCTTTTTGAAGCAATTGTTTTCAAACAAAAGATTCAGTATATTTACTATAAACTTTATACAATGAAGATTAGCGATAGACCATGAAAAACGTACGAATGGTCCTTTCATTTAGAGATTAAATATTTGACCCCAGTGAGAAAAATCCAGCAATAGGAAGACAATTTTTGAAATACAATTGTCTCGTACTATATACAATTGCAGCTAGATCTCCAACAAAAAAAGTTTTTCAAAATTTATTTATGCTTTCACTGAATAAAATCTTAAGTGATTATGACAATCGAGAAACCCCCGTTCCAATGTTTCGCCTGAGGACATACGTCGTTAATTTGACAATTAACAAATTCTTCTGTTACTTCATTCGATCGCGTCTGAATTGTAGAATATATAGCGTATAATTGAGACATTTTATAACCTTTTTAGATTTCACGACGAAATGCTGCAAATATAGAAGATTTTTCGCCCCTTCCAAGGTAAAAAAAGCTATTTGAAGCAATTATTTTCCGAGAAAAGATTCAGTATATTTACTATAAACTTTACACAACGAAGATTAGCGATAGACCATGCAAAACGTACGAATAGTTCTTTCATTTAGAGATGAAATATTTGGTCGCAGTGAGAAAAATCCAGCCATAGGAAGACAAATTTTGAAACACAATTGTCTCGTACTATATACAATTGCAGCGAGATCTCCAACAAAAAAAGTTTTTCAAAAATTATTTATTTTTTACTGAATAAAATCTTAAGCGATTATGACAATCGAGAAACCCCCGTTCCAATGTTTCGCCTGAGGACATACGGCGTTAATTTGACAATCAACAAATTCTTCTGTTACTTCATTCGATCGCGTCTGATTTGCAGAATATTTAGCGCATAATTGAGACATTTTATAACCTTTTTAGATTTCACGACGAAATTCTGCAAATATAGATGATTTTTCGCCCCTTCCAAGGTAAAATAAGCTATTTGAAGCAATTATTTTCCGACAAAAGATTCAGTATATTTACTATAAACTTTATACAATGAAGATTAGCGATAGACCATGCAAAACGTACGAATGGTCCTTTCATTTAGAGATTAAATATTTGGTCGCAGTGAGAAAAATCCAGCCATAGGAAGACAAATTTTGAAACACAATTGTCTCGTACTATATGCAATTGTAGCGAGATCTCCAACAAAAAAAGTTTTTTCAAAAATTATTTATTTTTACTGAATAAAATCTTAAGCGATTATGACAATCGAGAAACCCCCGTTCCAATGTTTCGCCTGAGGACATACGGCGTTAATTTGACAATTAACAAATTCTTCTGTTACTTCATTCGATGAAGTCTAAATTGCAGAATATATAGCGCATAATTAAGACATTTTGTAACCTTTTTAGATTTCATGACGAAATGCTGCAAATATAGAAGATTTTTGCCCCTTCCAAGGTAAAATAAGCTTTTGAAGCAATTATTTTCCGAAACAAAGATTCAGTATATTTACTATAAACTTTATACAATGAAGATTAGCGATAGACCTTGAAAAACGTACGAATGGTCCTTTCATTTAGAGATTAAATATTTGACCCCAGTGAGAAAAATCCAGCCAATAGGAAGACAATTTTGAAATACAATTGTCTCGTACTATACAATTGCAGCTAGATCTCCAACAAAAAAAGTTTTTCAAAATTTATTTCTTTCACTGAATAAAATCTTAAGTGATTATGACAATCGAGAAACCCCCGTTCCAATGTTTCGCTTGAGGACATACGGCGTTAATTTGACAATTAACAAATTCTTCTGTTACTTCATTCGATCGCGTCTGAATTGTAGAATATATAGCGTATAATTGAGACATTTTATAACCTTTTTAGATTTCACGACGAAATGCTGCAAATATAGAAGATTTTTCGCCCCTTCCAAGGTAAAAAAGCTATTTGAAGCAATTATTTTCCGAGAAAAGATTCAGTAATTTACTATAAACTTTACACAACGAAGATTAGCGATAGACCATGCAAAACGTACGAATAGTTCTTTCATTTAGAGATGAAATAATTTGGTCGCAGTGAGAAAAATCCAGCCATAGGAAGACAAATTTTGAAACACAATTGTCTCGTACTATATACAATTGCAGCGAGATCTCCAACAAAAAAAAGTTTTTCAAAAATTATTTATTTTTCACTGAATAAAATCTTAAGCGATATGACAATCGAGAAACCCCCGTTCCAATGTTTCGCCTGAGGACATACGGCGTTAATTTGACAATCAACAAATTCTTCTGTTACTTCATCTCGATCGCGTCTGATTGCAGAATATTAGCGCATAATTGAGACATTTATAACCTTTTTAGATTTCACGACGAAATTGCAAATATAGATGATTTTCGCCCCTTCCAAGGTAAAATAAGCTATTTGAAGCAATTATTTCCGACAAAAGATTCAGTATATTACTATAAACTTTATACAATGAAGATTAGCGATAGACCATGCAAAACGTACGAATGGTCCTTTCATTTAGAGATTAAATATTTGGTCGCAGTGAGAAAAATCCAGCCATAGGAAGACAAATTTTGAAACACAATTGTCTCGTACTATATGCAATTGTAGCGAGATCTCCAACAAAAAAAGTTTTTCAAAAATTATTTATTTTTTACTGAATAAAATCTTAAGCGATTATGACAATCGAGAAACCCCCGTTCCAATGTTTCGCCTGAGGACATACGGCGTTAATTTGACAATCAACAAATTCTTCTGTTACTTCATTCGATCGCGTCTGAATTGCAGAATATATAGCGCATAATTGAGACATTTATAACCTTTTTAGATTTCAACGACGAAATGCTGCAAATATAGAAGATTTTTCGCCCCTTCCAAGGTAAAATAAGCTATTTGAAGCAATTATTTTCCGAGAAAAGATTCAGTATATTTACTATAAACTTTACACAACGAAGATTAGCGATAGACCATGCAAAACGTACGAATAGTTCTTTCATTTAGAGATGAAATATTTGGTCGCAGTGAGAAAAATCCAGCCATAGGAAGACAAATTTTGAAACACAATTGTCTCGTACTATATACAATTGCAGCGAGATCTCCAACAAAAAAAGTTTTTCAAAAATTATTTATTTTTCACTGAATAAAATCTTAAGCGATTATGACAATCGAGAAACCCCCGTTCCAATGTTTCGCCTGAGGACATACGGCGTTAATTTGACAATCAACAAATTCTTCTGTTACTTCATTCGATCGCGTCTGATTGCAGAATATTTAGCGCATAATTGAGACATTTTATAACCTTTTTAGATTTCACGACGAAATCTGCAAATATAGATGATTTTTCGCCCCTTCCAAGGTAAAATAAGCTATTTGAAGCAATTATTTTCCGACAAAAGATTCAGTATATTTACTATAAACTTTATACAAGAAGATTAGCGATAGACCATGCAAAACGTACGAATGGTCCTTTCATTTAGAGATTAAATATTTGGTCGCAGTGAGAAAAATCCAGCCATAGGAAGACAAATTTTGAAACACAATTGTCTCGTACTATATGCAATTGTAGCGAGATCTCCAACAAAAAAGTTTTTCAAAAATTATTTATTTTCACTGAATAAAATCTTAAGCGATTATGACAATCGAGAAACCCCCGTTCCAATGTTTCGCCTGAGGACATACGGCGTTAATTTGACAATAACAAATTCTTCTGTTACTTCATTCGATCGCGTCTGAATTGCAGAATATATAGCGCATAATTGAGACATTTTATAACCTTTTTAGATTTCACGACGAAATGCTGCAAATATAGAAGATTTTTCGCCCCTTCCAAGGTAAAATAAGCTATTTGAAGCAATTATTTTCCGACAAAAGATTCAGTATATTTACTATAAACTTTATACAACGAAGATTAGCGATAGACCATGCAAAACGTACGAATGGTTCCTTTCATTTAGAGATTAAATATTTGGTCCAGTGAGAAATCCAGCCATAGGAAGACAAATTTTGAAACACAATTGTCTCGTACTATATACAATTGCAGCGAGATCTCCAAAAAAGTTTTTCAAAATTATTTATGCTTTCACTGAATAAAATCTTCAGTGATTATGACAATCGAGAAACCCCCGTTCCAATGTTTCGCTTGAGGACATACGGCGTTAATTTGACAATTAACAAATTCTTCTGTTACTTCATTCGATCGCGTCTGAATTGCAGAATATATAGCGCATAATTGAGACATTTTATAACCTTTTTAGATTTCATGACGAAATGCTGCAAATATAGAAGATTTTTGGCCTCTTCCAAGGTAAAATAAGCTATTTGAAGCAATTGTTCTCAGACAAAAGATTCAGTATATTTACTATAAACTTTATACAACGAAGATTAGCGATAGACCATGCAAAACGTACGAATGGTCCTTTCATTTAGAGATTAAATATTTTTCCCTGTGAGAAAAATCCAGCCATAGGAAGACAAATTTTGAAACACAATTGTATCGTACTCTATACAATTGCAGCGAGATCTCAAAAAAAAAGTTTTTCAAAATTTATTTATGCTTTCACTGAATAAAATCTTAAGTGATTATGACAATCGAGAAACCCCCGTTCCAATGTTTCGCCTAAGGACATACGGCGTTAATTTTCTTTCATTTAGACATGAAATATTTGGCCCCAGTGGGAGAAATCCAGCCATATAGGAAAACAAATTTTGAAACACAATTGTCTCGTACTATATACAATTGCAGCGAGATCTCCAATAAAAAAAGTTTTTTAAAATTTATTTATGCTTTCACTGAATATGTCTTAAGTGATTATGACAATCGAGAAACCCCCGTTCCAATGTTTCGCCTGAGGACATACGTCGTTAATTTGACAATTAACAAAATCTTCTGTTACTTCATTCGATCGCGTTTGAATTGCAGAATATATAGCGCATAATTGAGACATTTTATAACCTTTTTAGATTTCACGACGAAATGCTGCAAATATAGAAGATTTTTCGCCCCTTCCAAGGTAAAATAAGCTATTTGAAGCAATTATTTTCCGAGAAAAGATTCAGTACATTTACTATAAACTTTATACAACGAAGATTAGCGATAGACCATGCAAAACGACGAATGGTTCTTTCATTTAGAGATGAAATATTTGGCCCCAGTGGGATAAATCCAGCCATAGGAAGACAAATTTTGAAACACAATTCTCTCGTACTATATACAATTCCATGCAGCGAGTTCTGCAATAAAAACAGTTTTTCAAAATTTATTTATGCTTTCACTGAATAAATTAAAATCTTAAGTGATTATGACAATCGAGAAACCCCCGTTCCAATATTGCCTGATGACATAGCTACGGCGTTAATTTGACAATTAACAAATTCTTCTGTTACTTCATTCGATCGCGTCTGAATTGCAGAATATATAGCGCATAATTGAGACATTTTATAACCTTTTTAGATTTCACGACGAAATGCTGCAAATATAGAAGATTTTTCGCCCCTTCCAAGGTAAAATAAGCTATTTGAAGCAATTATTTTCCGAGAAAAGATTCAGTACATTTACTATAAACTTTATACAACGAAGATTAGCGATAGACCATGCAAAACGACGAATGGTTCTTTCATTTAGAGATGAAATATTTGGCCCCAGTGGGATAAATCCAGCCATAGGAAGACAAATTTTGAAACACAATTCTCTCGTATTATATACAATTCCATGCAGCGAGTTCTCCAATAAAAACAGTTTTTCAAAATTTATTTATGCTTTCACTGAATAAAATCTTAAGTGATTATGACAATCGAGAAACCCCCGTTCCAATGTTTCGCTTGAGGACACACGGCATTAATTTGACAATTAACAAATTCTTCTGTTACTTCATTCGATCGCGTCTGAATTGCAGAATATATAGCGCATAATTGAGACATTTTATAACCTTTTTAGATTTCATGACAAATGCTGCAAATATGGAAGATTTTTGGCCCCTTCCAAGGTTAAATAAGCTATTTGAAGCAATTTTTCTCAGACAAAAGATTCAGTATATTTACTATAAACTTTATACAACGAAGATTAGCGATAGACCATGCAAAACGTACGAATGGTCCTTTCATTTAGAGATTAAATATTTGTTCCCAGTGGAGATCCAGCCATAGGAAGACAAATTTTGAAACACAATTGTCTCGTACTATACAATTGCAGCGAGATCTCAAAAAAAAAGTTTTTCAAAATTTATTTATGCTTTCACTGAATAAAATCTTAAGTGATTATGACAATCGGGAGACCCCCGTTCCAATGTTTCGCCTGAGGACATACGCGTTAATTTGACAATTAACAAATTCTTCTGTTACTTCATTCGATGAAGTCTAAATTGCAGAATATATAGCGCATAATTAAGACATTTTGTAACCTTTTTAGATTTCATGACGAAATGCTGCAAATATAGAAGATTTTTGGCCTCTTCCAAGGTAAAATAAGCTTTTTGAAGCAATTGTTTTCAACAAAAGATTCAGTATATTTACTATAAACTTTATACAATGAAGATTAGCGATAGACCATGAAAAACGTACGAATGGTCCTTTCATTTAGAGATTAAATATTTGACCCCAGTGAGAAAAATCCAGCCATAGGAAGACAATTTTTGAAATACAATTGTCTCGTACTATATAAAATTGCAGAGATCTCCAACAAAAAAAGTTTTTCAAAATTTATTTATGCTTTCACTGAATAAAATCTTAAGTGATTATGACAATCGAGAAACCCCCGTTCCAATGTTTCGCCTGAGGACATACGTCGTTAATTTGACAATTAACAAATTCTTCTGTTACTTCATTCGATCGCGTCTGAATTGAATATATAGCGTATAATTGAGACATTTTATAACCTTTTTAGATTTCACGACGAAATGCTGCAAATATAGAAGATTTTTCGCCCCTTCCAAGGTAAAAAAGCTATTTGAAGCAATTATTTTCCGAGAAAAGATTCAGTATATTTACTATAAACTTTACACAACGAAGATTAGCGATAGACCATGCAAAACGTACGAATAGTTCTTTCATTTAGAGATGAAATATTTGGTCGCAGTGAGAAAAATCCAGCCATAGGAAGACAAATTTTGAAACACAATTGTCTCGTACTATATACAATTGCAGCGAGATCTCCAACAAAAAAAGTTTTTCAAAAATTATTTATTTTTCACTGAATAAAATCTTAAGCGATTATGACAATCGAGAAACCCCCGTTCCAATGTTTCGCCTGAGGACATACGGCGTTAATTTGACAATCAACAAATTCTTCTGTTACTTCATTCGATCGCGTCTGATTTGCAGAATATTTAGCGCATAATTGAGACATTTTATAACCTTTTTAGATTTCACGACGAAATTCTGCAAATATAGAATGATTTTTCGCTCCTTCCAAGGTAAAATAAGCTATTTGAAGCAATTATTTTCCGACGAAAGATTCAGTATATTTACTATAAACTTTATACAATGCAGTTTAGCGATAGACCATGCAAAACGTACGAATGGTCCTTTCATTTAGAGATTAAATATTTGGTGCAGTGAGAAAAATCCAGCCATAGGAAGACAAATTTTGAAACACAATTGTCTCGTACTATATGCAATTGTAGCGAGATCTCCAACAAAAAAAGTTTTTCAAAATTATTTTTTTTTACTGAATAAAATCTTAAGCGATTATGACAATCGAGAAACCCCCGTTCCAATGTTTCGCCTGAGGACACACGGCGTTAATTTGACAATTAACAAATTCTTCTGTTACTTCATTCGATCGCGTCTGAATTGCAGAATATATAGCGCATAATTAAGACATTTTGTAACCTTTTTAGATTTCATGACGAAATGCTGCAAATATAGAAGATTTTTCGCCTCTTCCAAGGTAAAATAAGCTTTTGAAGCAATTATTTTCAAAAAAGATTCAGTATATTTACTATAAACTTTATACAATGAAGATTAGCGATAGACCTTGAAAAACGTACGAATGGTCCTTTCATTTAGAGATTAAATATTTGGCCCAGTGAGAAAATCCAGCCATAGGAAGACAAATTTTGAAACACAATTGTCTCGTACTATATACAATTGCAGCGATCTCCAACAAAAAAAGTTTTTCAAAATTTATTTATGCTTTCACTGAATAAAATCTTAAGTGAATATGACAATCGAGAAACCCCCGTTCCAATGTTTCGCCTGAGGACATACGGCGTTAATTTGACAATTAACAAATTCTTCTGTTACTTCATTCGATCGCGTCTGAATTGCAGAATATATAGCGTATAATTGAGACATTTTATAACCTTTTTAGATTTCACGACGAAATGCTGCAAATATAGAAGATTTTTCGCCCCTTCCAAGGTAAAAAAGCTATTTGAAGCAATTATTTTCCGAGAAAAGATTCAGTATATTTACTATAAACTTTACAACGAAGATTAGCGATAGACCATGCAAAACGTACGAATGGTCCTTTCATTTAGAGATGAAATATTTGGTCGCAGTGAGAAAAATCCAGCCATAGGAAGACAAATTTTGAAACACAATTGTCTCGTACTATATACAATTGCAGCGAGATCTCCAACAAAAAAGTTTTTCAAAAATTATTTATTTTTCACTGAATAAAATCTTAAGCGATTATGACAATCGAGAAACCCCCGTTCCAATGTTTCGCCTGAGGACATACGGCGTTAATTTGACAATCAACAAATTCTTCTGTTACTTCATTCGATCGCGTCTGAATTGCAGAATATTAGCGCATAATTGAGACATTTTATAACCTTTTTAGATTTCACGACGAAATCTGCAAATATAGAAGATTTTTCGCCCCTTCCAAGGTAAAATAAGCTATTTGAAGCAATTATTTTCCGACAAAAGATTCAGTATATTTACTATAAACTTTATACAATGAAGATTAGCGATAGACCATGCAAAACGTACGAATGGTCCTTTCATTTAGAGATTAAATATTTGGTCGCAGTGAGAAAATCCAGCCATAGGAAGACAAATTTTGAAACACAATTGTCTCGTACTATATGCAATTGTAGCGAGATCTCCAACAAAAAAGTTTTTTCAAAATTATTTATTTTTTCACTGAATAAAATCTTAAGCGTATTATGACAATCGAGAAACCCCCGTTCCAATGTTTCGCCTGAGGACATACGGCGTTAATTTGACAATTCAACAAATTCTTCTGTTACTTCATTCGATCGCGTCTGAATTGCAGAATATATAGCGCATAATTGAGACATTTTATAACCTTTTTAGATTTCACGACGAAATGCTGCAAATATAGAAGATTTTTCGCCCCTTCCAAGGTAAAATAAGCTATTTGAAGCAATATTTTCCGACAAAAGATTCAGTATATTTACTATAAACTTTATACAATGAAGATTAGCGATAGACCATGCAAAACGTACGAATGGTTCCTTTCATTTAGAGATTAAATATTTGGTCGCAGTGAGAAAATCCAGCCATAGGAAGACAATTTTGAAACACAATTGTCTCGTACTATATACAATTGCAGCGAGATCTCCAAAAAAAAAGTTTTTCAAAATTATTTATTTTTCACTGAATAAAATCTTAGTGATTATGACAATCGAGAAACCCCCGTTCCAATGTTTCGCTTGAGGACTACGGCGTTAATTTGACAATAACAAATTCTTCTGTTACTTCATTCGATCGCGTCTGAATTGCAGAATATATAGCGCATAATTGAGACATTTTATAACCTTTTTAGATTTCATGACGAAATGCTGCAAATATGGAAGATTTTTGGCCTCTTCCAAGGTTAAAAAGCTATTTGAAGCAATTTTCTCGACAAAAGATTCAGTATATTTACTATAAACTTTATACAACGAAGATTAGCGATAGACCATGCAAAACGTACGAATGGTCCTTTCATTTAGAGATAAATATTTTTCCCAGTGAGAAAAATCCAGCCATAGGAAGACAAATTTTGAAACACAATTGTCTCGTACTCTATAATTGCGGCGAGATCTCAAAAAAAAAGTTTTTCAAAATTTATTTATGCTTTCACTGAATAAATCTTAGTGATTATGACAATCGAGAAACCCCCGCTTTAATGTTTCGCCTGAGGAGATGCATCCGGCGTTAATTTGACATTAACAAATTCTTCTTTACTTCATTCGATCATGTCTAAATTGCAGAATATATAGCGCATAATTAAGACATTTTGTAACCTTTTTAGATTTCATGACGAAATGCTGCAAATATAGAAGATTTTTGGCCTCTTCCAAGGTAAAATAAGCTTTTGAAGCAATTTTCTCAAACAAAAGATTCAGTATATTTACTATAAACTTTATACAATGAAGATTAGCGATAACCATGCAAAACGTACGAATGGTCCTTTCATTTAGAGATTAAATATTTGACCCCAGTGAGAAAAATCCAGCCATAGGAAGACAATTTTTGAAATACAATTGTGTCGTACTATTTACAATTGCAGCTAGATCTCCAACAAAAAAAGTTTTTCAAAAATTATTTATTCTTTCACTGAATAAAATGTTACGTGATTATGACAATCGAGAAACCCCCGTTCCAATATATTGCCTGATGACATAGCTACGGCGTTAATTTGACAATTAACAAATTCTTCTGTTACTTCATTCGATCGCGTTTGAATTGCAGAATATATAGCGCATAATTGAGACATTTTATAACCTTTTTAGATTTCACGACGAAATGCTGCAAATATAGAAGATTTTTCGCCCCTTCCAAGGTAAAATAAGCTATTTGAAGCAATTATTTTCCGACAAAAGATTCAGTATATTTACTATAAACTTTATACAATGAAGATTAGCGATAGACCATGCAAAACGTACGAATGGTCCTTTCATTTAGAGATTAAATATTTGGTCGCAGTGAGAAAAATCCAGCCATAGGAAGACAAATTTTGAAACACAATTGTCTCGTACTATATACAATTGCAGCGAGATCTCCAACAAAAAAAGTTTTTCAAAAATTTTTTTTTTTTCACTGAATAAAATCTTAAGCGATTATGACAATCGAGAAACCCCCGTTCCAATGTTTCGCCTGAGGACATACGGCGTTAATTTGACAATCAACAAATTCTTCTGTTACTTCATTCGATCGCGTCTGAATTGCAGAATATATAGCGCATAATTGAGACATTTTATAACCTTTTAGATTTCACGACGAAATGCTGCAAATATAGAAGATTTTTCGCCCCTTCCAAGGTAAAATAAGCTATTTGAAGCAATTATTTTCCGAGAAAAGATTCAGTATATTTACTATAAACTTTACACAACGAAGATTAGCGATAGACCATGCAAAACGTACGAATGGTTCTTTCATTTAGAGATGAAATATTTGGCCCCAGTGGGAGAATTCCAGCCATATAGGAAGACAAATTTTGAAACACAATTGTCTCGTACTATATACAATTGCAGCGAGTTCTCCAACAAAAAAAGTTTTTCAAAATTTATTTATTCTTTCACTGAATAAAATGTTACGTGATTATGACAATCGAGAAACCCCCGTTCCAATATATTGCCGGATGACATAGCTACGGCGTTAATTTGACAATTAACAAATTCTTCTGTTACTTCATTCGATCGCGTTTGAATTGCAGAATATATAGCGCATAATTGAGACATTTTATAACCTTTTTAGATTTCACGACGAAATGCTGCAAATATAGAAGATTTTTCGCCCCTTCCAAGGTAAAATAAGCTATTTGAAGCAATTATTTTCCGAAAAAGATTCAGTATATTTACTATAAACTTTATACAACGAAGATTAGCGATAGACCATGCAAAACGTACGAATGGTTCTTTCATTTAGAGATAAATATTTGGCCCAGTTAGAAAATCCAGCCATAGGAAGACAAATTTTGAAACACAATTGTCTCGTACTATATACAATTGCAGCGAGTTCTCCAAAAAAAGTTTTTCAAAATTATTTATTTTTCACTGAATAAAATCTTAACGATTATGACAATCGAGAAACCCCCGTTCCAATGTTTCGCCTGATGACATACGGCGTTAATTTGACAATTAACAAATTCTTCTGTTACTTCATTCGATCGCGTCTGAATTGCAGAATATATAGCGCATAATTGAGACATTTTATAACCTTTTTAGATTTCACGACGAAATGCTGCAAATATAGAAGATTTTTCGCCCCTTCCAAGGTAAAATAAGCTATTTGAAGCAATTATTTTCCGAAGAAAAGATTCCGTATATTTACTATAAACTTTATACAATGAAGATTAGCGATAGTCCATGCATAACGTACGAATGGTCCTTTCATTTAGAGATTAAATATTTGGTCGCAGTGAGAAAAATCCAGCCATAGGAAGACAAATTTTGAAACACAATTGTCTCGTACTATATACAATTGCAGCGAGATCTCCAATAAAAAAAGTTTTTCAAAATTTATTTATGCCTTCACTGAATAAAATCTTAAGTGATTATGACAATCGAGAAACCCCCGTTCCAATATATTGCCTGATGACATACCTACGGCGTTAATTTGACAATTAACAAATTCTTCTGTTACTTCATTCCATCGCGTTTTAATTGCAGAATATATAGCGCATAATTGAGACATTTTATAACCTTTTTAGATTTCACGACGAAATGCTGCAAATATAGAAGATTTTTCGCCCCTTCCAAGGTAAAATAAGCTATTTGAAGCAATTGTTCTGAGACAAAAGATTCAGTATATTTACTATAAACTTTATACAACGAAGATTAGCGATAGACCATGCAAAACGTACGAATGGTCGTTTCATTTAGAGATGAAATATTTGGCCCCAGTGGGAGAAGTCCAGCCATAGGAAGATAAATTTTGAAACACAATTGTCTCCTACTATATACAATTGCAGCGAGTTCTCCAATAAAAAAAGGTATTTCAAAATTTATTTATGCTTTCAAAGACTATGCAAAACGTACGAATGGTTCTTCATTTAGAAATTAAATAATTAGTCCCAATGTGATAAATCCAGCCACAGGAAGATAAATTTTGAAACACAATTTTCTCGTACTATATATAATTGCAGCGAGCTCTCCAACAAAAAAACCTTTTTTTTTAAATTTATTTATGCTTTCACTGAATAAAATCTTAAGTGATCATGACAATCGAGAAACCCCCGTTCCAATGGTGGGAGACTGGCGCTATTAATATAGGGTTATATAGGGTTTCAATTGCACGTTACGTCAGAAACATAATTGTAATATAAGACGAGGGTGTGGGGAGTTAAAGTAGTGTGTGTGATAGTAAGTGTGATGTGAGCAGCCCGTGCGCTGATTGGGATTTTCTGTTATTTAAATACATATTATAAAAACTTGTGATTGTGTCGAAGATTACAGATTGGCGAAGGCAACATTTTCGACATAGTGGTACCTCCGACGGATAGCGTTACCGTCTAGTTTAAAACACATTTTCTGGGGAAGCGTACAACGTATGAGAGTATGGGAACCGTGGATTTGGATACGAAGTTGACGCAGTTAAAGATTACAGTAGAAAGAACAAATAACATACTGAACTCAGGTAAGAGAGTAACTTTTAAACGGCATCGTGAGACGTTACAAGGACGAAGGACGCAAACCAGTGTAAAAACATTGTCTAAGCGACAAAGATTGCGGAGAAGGCAGAACTCTCTGAAATTAGCGAATGGAGTATTGAGATTGATGCTAAGCTTGAAGCAGCAGACGCAACGGTGGTTAAGCTTGAGGAATGGCTCGCGAAAAATGAGCAGGCGCAAAAGCTTGTAGCTCAAGAGGAGCAATTTAGATTCGAAATGGAACTGCATGAGAAACGTTTAAAAATGCAAGCAGAACTTGCCAAAATTGCAAAACCTCGACCGGAAATACAGGAATGTGAGAACATAACTCAAAAAGTGGCCAAACTACCAAAGTTGGTTATCTCGAAGTTTGAAGGTTCATTTATGGATTGGCCCAGGTTCTGGGGCCAAATCACCGAAGCTATCGACAAAAGCTCTATCGCTCCGATTAGTAAATTCACTTATTTATGCGAACTTCTCGCTCCGAAAGTTAAACGTTGTGTAGAAGCCCTCCCATTCACACCCGAAGGTTATAACCGCGCAAAGGCTGTTTTGCAGGACAAATACGGCAAAGAGCCCGAGATTTGGTCCGAAGACTTGGTCCGAACTGATCCAGAATGGGAAACGTGGGACTTTATTAGGTTAACTAAGGCCATACGACAGTGGGTAAAACGAAATCCAATTACGCGTCTAGCGAGAGAGATCGAGACGATAATCGAAAGAAGTTCTTTCATGCTCGAAGCGACGAATACAAGCCTAAGGGTTGTGTATACTGTGGGGACCCGGGGCATAAAGCTAACCAGTGTACTAACGTGACAACAGTAGCTGAGCGAAAAGCGATTCTGTCCAAGAAAAGGCTGTGCTTCAATTGCGCGACAAAAACGCACCGCGCCTCAGAATGCTCAAGCAAAGTGTCCTGCGGCAACTGCAGCAAACGTTACCACACGTCAATTTGCGACCAGACGAGCGACAAAGAGCAGAACGAGAGAAAGTTGATGACAGATGGAGGAAGTGGTGATGGCATTTTTCCGGTTGTTGTCGTGAAAGTCAATGGCGTTACTTGTCGAGCATTGATTGATTCTGGCGCCGGTGGCTCGTACGCGTCTGCGAAGTTAATCGAAGCCCTAAAGTTGAAGCCAAACGAAACGAGATTGCAACGAGTCGACATGTTAATGAGTACGAAGACCTCACGAATGGAGATGTATGATACCTCGGTGTCCTCGATCGACGGAAGTTACGTCATGAACGTGAGATTGACGAAGGTCGGTAAAGACGAACTATTATCTATCAATAATCCGGGATACGACAAGCTAATTAGGCGTTATCAACACTTGAACGCAGTACAGATAAACGACAGCAACACGAAGAAGGAATTTCCGATTCACGTCATACTTGGAAGCGGGGAGTACTCTCGAATTAAGACCAGCACCAGGCCCCTCGTAGGAAACGATTGCGAACCAGTGGCGGAGAAAACAAAGCTCGGGTGGTTTATCATGAGCCCTGGGGTCGAGTTCGACAAGAGTACGATGCTGCTGACTCAGACATCGCAGGTCGATTTCGAGAATCTCTGTAGGTTAGACGTGTTGGGCCTTGCAGATACAATGGAGAATGACCAGGACCTTGTGTTTGGCGACTTCAAAGAACAACTTGTCAGAAATCCGGGGGGTTGGTACGAGACGAACCTACCTTGGAAGCCCAACCATCCACCTCTACCAACTAACGAGACTGGAAGCCTGCGGAGACTAAACAACTTGATAAAGCGACTAAAACGCGACGGAACAACTTGAGCAAGGAGTCATTGAACCAGCGCCAGCGAATCCTACAGGCAACGAGTTCTACATACCACACAAGGGCGTAACGAAGAACACAGCCGAAACAACCAAACTTAGGATCGTATACGACGCCTCGGCAAAGGAATCGAACGACAAGCCTTCGCTGAATGACTGCTTACACCCTGGCCCTCAACTTCAGAACCTACTCTGGAGCGTTCTTGTCCGGTCGCGATTCTACCCGGTACTACTCACCAGTGACATCCAAAAGGCGTTCTTGCAAGTGAGAATTACAGAACATGAACAAGACGCGTTGAGATTCCATTGGAAGGCTCCTGAAAACAATGAAGTTCACATCTACAGGTTCACAAGAGCGTTGTTTGGGTTGACCTGTTCCCCTTTCCTGCTTGGTGGTGTGATTCACGAACACTTAAAGATGTGGGAGGGGAGATACCCAGATGTGGTCAAAGAAATCCGTGATAGGCTGTATGTAGACGACCTCATGACGGGGGGTACAACTGTTGAAGAAGTCAACGATAAGAAGATGAAGACAAGCGAAGTTTTCGAAGACGCCACCTTTAAACTGCACAAATGGCACTCTAATGTCGAAGATCTTGAAGAAAGGACACCAGTGTTGATACATGACGGGGAAGAGACGACCTTCGCGAAGCGGCATCTCGGAGTCGAGCAAACGGAAACGAAATTACTTGGCCTACCATGGGACAAGAAGCGAGATACACTCAGCGTGGTGGTAAACAAGAAGGAGTTCGCGAATACCAAAAGAATAGCTCTCTCTCAACTGGCGAAGGTTTACGATCCGCTCGGCTTGGTATCACCTGCTACGGTTGTTGGAAAGATGTTGTATCGCGAAATCTGCGAAACCCATCTTGCGTGGGACAGCGAACTCCCGGAGGAATTGAAGAAACGTTGGATGAAATGGCACTCGCAAATGCCAGAACACTTCTCGGTTCCGCGATCGTTAGCACCACGTTATCAACCAGTGTTGTCAATATCAATCCATGCATTCGGAGATGCAAGCAAGAATGGGGTGTCTGCCGCCGTGTATGCCGTGGTTGAACAGCAGGAAACGACGACACAAGGGTTAGTGTGTTTCAAGTCTCGACTGGCGAAGCGTGATCTTACGATTCCACGTTTGGAGTTGGTAGCAGGGCATATGGCAGTCAATCTTGGGTCTAATGTCGAAAGAGCAATTGGCGTTGAGAAGGTATCCGGGGTTCATTGCTGGTTAGACTCCACCGTGGCATTGTACTGGATCAATGGCCAAGGCGAGTACCGTCAATTTGTCGCCAACAGAGTGAAGAAGATCCAAGGGCACCATGTTCCCACTCACGAGAATCCAGCAGATCTTGGGAGTCGTGGGGGAACGATCGACGAAACGAGCTTTGGCAGCGTGGACCAGCATGGCTTAGTGATCCAAGCAGATGGCCCCCGCAAGTCACGCTCACAGCCGACGAAAGGGTGAAAGAGGAAGCGAAACGAGAGCGGAGTCCCCAAGTCCTGACGACATCTAATAAATCTGCAGATAGTTTCGACGAGCTAATCAGCAAATTCTCCTTACGGAAAACCCTGAGAATTGGAGCATGGATCCACAGATTCCTAACAAACTGTAGAAGTCGAACTGACAAAGTGAGTGGCCCACTCAAAACACAAGAGATCGAAAGGCAAAACTTATGGTGGATCCAGAAAACTCAACGCGAAGCACAACGCAGTGGGGAAATCGACAAAGACAAGATACAACTCAACCTGCAACCCAACAGATCAGGAATCTTGGAGTGTAGAGAAAGAATCGAAGGGGAATACCCGATATACTTGCCAGAGAATCATGTCTACACGCAGAAACTTGTGGAAAAAACGCATCTTTCCACACTCCATGGAGGAGTAGCCGCGACCATGTCTAAAGTTAGAGAGCGTTATTGGATCCCAAAACTACGCCAGCTCGTGAAGAGAGTTAAGAGGAAGTGTTACGGGTGTATTAAGTTTCGCACCCAAGCCTACAACAACCCACCACTTGGAAACCTCCCACCTACCCGGACTGACGGCTCTGCACCATTTCAAGTCCTCGGAGTGGACTTCGCTGGCCCAATTCAGTACAAGACGAGAGCGAACACAGTCAGAAAAGCCTATTTGGTCCTGTACGGCTGTAGCTTGACAAGAGCAGTGCACCTCGAGCTGTTGAGATCTCTGGAAGTTTCTGAGTTCCTACCGAGTCTAAAGAGGCTTATAGCACGACGCGGACGTCCTGAGATAATATATTCGGACAACGCAAAGACCTTCAAAGCTGCGAAGAAATGGTTGAGCAAAGTACAAAAGGAAAAAAGTCTACACGCGTTCCTGACAAATCGTTCAATCAAATGGAGATTCAACCTCAGTCGGGCCCCCTGGTGGGGGGGCGCCAATTTGAACGGCTCATTGGACTATTCAAGCGAGACTTTTACAAAACCATTGGGAACGGCAACCTAAAACGGGAAGAACTGAGTGAGGTAATCCTTGATATCGAAGTGGCACTTAACAACAGACCGCTAATGTATTTAGAAGATGATATTGAACTACCCGTCCTCACCCCTAACACCATGTTAAACATCAACCCAAGCGTTTTACCCGAGATGGGAACTCACCTCATCGACGAAAAGGACTTACGCAAACGAGCCAAATTTCTCAAGAAGTGCAAAGAAACTATGTGGAGGCGGTGGTCAAGAGAATACATTAGAAGTTTACGTGAACGCCATCGACAGGTAAGCCAGAAGAATACCTCACATCCCAAAGCCGGAGACGCCGTGATCATTCAAGACGAGAAGAAGAACCGAAACCTGTGGAAATTGGGGATTGTTGTCGAGCTGATAAGAGGTCGTGATGGAGTTGTACGTGCGGCCAAGGTGAGGACAACTAACGGTTGCCTCGACAGAGCCATCCAGCACTTGTTTCCTATGGAGTTGTCTTGTGATAAAGTCGAACCAAAGAAACTGGATCCAACAGCACCGGCATTTGAACCACGACCAAGACGAGACGCCGCCGCAGCTGCGAATGTTAGAATTCAGCTGACAGCAAGAGAAGAAGAAGAGGAGAACTGATAAGTTGACTTTGTTACAAATAGTCGTTCGCAATGATTAAACTTTAAAAATACATTTATATAGACAGTTTAGGTTCGGAACAATATGACCGATTCCAGGACAATAGTTTAGTTGACTATTGCTGATTATACTTCACACTCTCCGGTCGAAATGTATGGAATACATATGGTATAACATACCTAATCAGCGAAGGAACCACACTTAAAAAGCACTGGGGTGAGAAAAAGAAAGAGCGGGAAGCCCCCATGCCATATATGGTATCACGCACCCTATAAGGCATCACCCCAGGCAACAGGCTTCGACTTTCTCCGACTTTTGCGAAGGAGCTACAGCTATTTTGTAAGTATAGGATGAGTTCTAGCAGAAAGCGTTCAAGGTCGCGAAGTAGCGACGATACAAGAGCTGCCAAATCACGGCACCGATCAGAAAGATCTGCGAAGGCGAAGCGTCATCGCTCGAATTCACAAACAAATCACGGAGAAAAGAACTCCCCGACAATAGAAAATCTTCTAGAGAAGATGTCGGCAATCAGCTCGACAGTAGAACGTCTTAATCAACGCATGACATTCCTCGAATCCACACAGGCACAGCCGGTCAATGAACATACAAATATGGCAGTCGGTCAGAATGACACATGCCTTGAACCGGCAACAGATGTTTCGGATCAACTTTCTATTGTGGTTCCACAAGATCCAGAGATAGATAGTCCAGCAAACCTGGACCCCAATGCTAGCCACAAAGTTGGCAACTTAACGAGCAAATCGCTCACCCAAAATCATATTAATGATAACTCTGGCCCAGTTGAAGCCAGCATGGACGATACCGAGGGTGGGAAGGACCTTCCCGATAATGAAGATCAACCGAATCAGGATGATGCAAAGCAGCTACTATTTGACCCTGTTGCCCAAGCACCTAGCTGGGAGCCGTCGGCAACATTTAAAGCGTTCTTAGAGACGAATTTTAGACGTAGCCTGTCCTCGTCACAAATTTTTACTATTTTTGAAGAAACATCTCTCCCCGACATAGATGTGTTTACCACTCCGAAGCTTGATAAAGCCATCGCAGATCAAATCCCACAAAACTATAAGAAGTCGGTTGAGAACCGTGATAAAGAACTAATAAAAGTTCAACGGCATGTTTTGAACGTGGCAGCTCCATTAACAGCACTCCACGATATGCTCGAAGGTAAACAAAGCTTATCACAAGCCGAAATACTAAGTCTTGTTGAACGGGCTATCTGTTTGCTCGGGAATGCAACTAATTCCCTTTCGGTGTTGCGCATATCTAAAATCCTTTATGCAATAAACCCGGCCAAAATTTCGCTGGCAGAAGCCGCCTTTCCTATCGCAGGAAAGCAGTTATTCGGAAATGACATTACAAAAATTTCAGCCGATAGCGCAGAAATTGTTCGCAACCTACAGAAAAATCTCCATCAGCAGCGTCCTCAGTCTTCCTCTTGGAACAAACCTCAATTTAAAAAGTACCAGACAAAAAACGAAAAATTTCGTCCAACCCCTTTTACTTCAAATCGTTATTCAAATCAAACGAAGAGCAGAGTTCAATTTTAGCCGCCGCCCTTTCGAGGCAAGCAAAACAACGGCCCCCGTTAACAGGTCGTCTTCCTTACTTCGAGAAAAACCGGTTAAATATAACGCAAGACCCCGCCATTTTAGCTATTGTTCGGGGTTATCAGATTCATTTTCAAAGTCGTCCTTTTCAAAAAACTCTTCCTCGAACGTCGTTGCAAAACTCCAAATTAGTGGACGAGGAAATCAACACCCTATTACACAAAGGCGCGATCAAGCGTGTCAATTTCAACAAACAGGCGTTTTATCACAGAATATTTTTAGTTGCCAAAAAAGGTGGCGGACAACGCCCAGTTTTAGACCTAAGTCCTCTCAACAAATTTATACAGACAGAGCATTTCAAAATGGAAAATCTTATGACATTAAAAACCCTAATAAACAAGGGAGACTTTATGATAAATATCGATCTAACGGATGCATATCTAACCGTTCCGATGCACCCAGACTCACAGAAATTTCTCCGCTTCCTTCTGGCAAGGAATTTTAACAATTCGTTACAATGCCCTTCGGCCTAAATGTAGCCCCAAGGGTGTTTACGAAACTCATGAAACCGGTGATAGCTTGGCTGCAAGGCCAAGGTGTTCGAATGATTATCTTTCTAGACGATATACTCGTGCGAGCGCCATCAATTGGAACGTTAAATCAACACGCACATATGACAGTAACTCTACTAGAGTCGCTAGGTTTTTTAATCAATCACAAAAAATCAACTCTAGTTCCTACTCAGAGGATCCTCTTTCTGGGGATGCTCATAGATTCATTGACGATGGAATTTATCCTACCAAAAGAAAAATCGGAAATGATTATACGAGAGTGTCGGGATCTTTTGAAGGCCCCCCAACCGATCATCAGGTAATTAGCTCGGGTCATAGGACTACTAGAATTCACTCGTCCGGCGATTTGGTCGGCACCTCTACACTATCGCCATCTCCAACTTTTACAAATAGAGTCCCTAAACCGGACATCCGATTACAACAGTCGAGTAAACCTCTCCAAAGGAGCGAGATTGGATTTAGATTGGTGGATAGCCAATCTACCATCGTTAGGGGGGAGTCCCATACTGCCCCCAATAGCCGATCTGACAATTTCATCAGATGCCTCCAAGCTAGGCTGGGGAGCAGCCTGGGAGAAATGCGGACAGGAGGATTATGGAACAACCTCGAGTCTCAGGAGCACATAAACATTCTGGAACTTCGAGCCGCCTTCTTCGCGCTAAAATCGTTCATGAAAGATCAGTACAACAAGGTAATTTGCCTAAAGATAGACAACTCCACAGCGGTCGCTTATTTAAACAACAAAGGGGGAACTCACTCCCTTCAGTTGCTGAATCTAACATTGGGGATATGGAAATGGTGCGAGACAAAACATCTATTTTTACTAGCTCAACATGTTCCGGGGAAGAACAATGTTGTCGCAGACGAGGAGTCACGAACGATCAGGGACCTAAACGACTGGAAAATCGATCCGAGGGTCATCAAACACCTAATCAAAGACTGTCAAGTAGACCTCTTTGCATCTCGAATGACCCATCAACTCAGCCGATACGTCAGTTGGCGGCCGGATCCGTATGCGATTCATACAGACGCCTTCACGATGGATTGGGCGAATTTAATAGCGTACGCATTCCCACCATTCAACTTAATTCCAGCGGTCCTTCACAAAACCAGGAAAGAGAAAGCAACGTTAGTACTGATTGCCCCTCTATGGTCGGCACAACCCTGGTGGCCCTTGTTGATAGATCTTGTGATAGACTATCCAATATACCTGGGGAACGACCCAAATCTTCTGAAAAACATGGCCTATCCGGAAACAATTCATCCCCTGTTCCCAGCTCTAAAACTAGCCGTGTGGAGAATATCAGGAGACAGTTCGAAACAGCGGGCATTTCATCAACGGCTATTGACCTGCTCTGCAACAACGTTAAGACCTCATCCACCAGGGCATACAACTGTTCCTGGTCTCAATGGCGTAGCTGGTGTGAAGGACGGGAAAGTGATCCCATACATTGTCCAGTCTCTGAGGTCTTAACGTTTTTGGCAGAGCAGTTTTCGGAAGGGAAGCAGTACAGAACTATTAATGTACTGCGATCGGCTATTTCATCAGCACATGTTCCCATTGATAATAAGCCAATTGGTCAACACCCGTTGGTTGTTCGGCTGATGAAGGGAGTCTCGATATCCAGACCCCCTCAACCTCGGTATCAGCATACCTGGAACGTTAAGACAGTTACAAATTACCTGGGTAACTTGGGAGAGAATTCCACGTTATCTGCAAAGCAACTGTCACAAAAACTTTGATGCTGATGGCATTGACCTGTCCGGAACGGGGTTCCATTATGACATCTTTAGACATAAGATACATGCGTTATTTTCCAGAAGCGGTAAAGTTCCAACACACAGTTTGGCGAAAGCGTTCGCATACTGGCAAACTTGGAGAATCCGTTTATCCTAAATTTACCGAAAATTTGCTTTGTCCAGTTGCGTGCCTTTCCGCATACTTAGAGAAAACAAAAGATTGGCGAAAATCCAAGACCGACAACATGCAACAGCGCCTATTCCTCTCTTTCCAGAAACCACATAAACCTGTGACAACTGCTACACTTTCTCGATGGTTAAAAGAAGTTATCCGGCAATCGGGCATTGGAGACAATTTTGGCGGACATTCTGTTCGAAGTGCGTCTACTTCCACTGCAAAGCAGGCTGGTTTATGTAAGCATCGATATGATATTAGATATGGCAGACTGGACTAGTCCGTCAACATTTAATCGTTTCTATTATAAGCCTACTCTGTCAGTCTCTTATGGGACCACTGTATTATCACAAAAGTAGAAGTTACTATGGTTGTTAATGTTAACGTTATTGTTATTGGCGTAGTAAAAAAAAAAAAGGCTGTGTGCGCTGTAATCTACCATATGTATTCCATACATTTCTCCCTTCGAGTGCTCGTATAATCATAATTATACGGGCGCGCCGCGGTTCCATACATTTCTCCCTTCGAGTGCTCGTATAATCATAATTATACGGGCGCGCCGCTTCGCGGCGCTGGTATAATTAAAATTTTGCACAGCCAGTCTCGATTAGTGACATATACCTTGATCCCAAGCTATATGGGGGAGTGTGTGGGAGACTGGCGCTATTAATATAGGGTTATATAGGGTTTCAATTGCACGTGACGTCAGAAACATAATTGTAATTTAAAACGAGGGTGTGGGGAGTTAAAGCAGTGTGTGTGATAGTAAAGTGTGATGTGAGCAGCCCGTGCGCTGATTGGGATTTTCTGTTATTTAAATACATGTTATAAAAACTTGTGATTGTGTCGAAGATTACATATTGGCGAAGGCAACATTTTCGACACAATGTTTCGCCTGAGGACATACGGCATTAATTTGACAATTAACAAATTCTTCTGTTGCTT